TGCAGATAAAAGTTCCCTGATGGTTTGGCCTATCGTCAAAAACATCTCACTAATACTTTGACGGCTCCTGTATTCAAAGAACTTCAGTTCCTTTAGGCCAAGGTATTCTATTAAGTCAATAAGGGGTAATAGTTTCTTATTTGATATTTCTTGCTTGGCTAGCCAGTAAATAGCTGTAAAAGTTTTCTCTATAACTGTGTCACTTGTTTCACGTTTTGCTGTCAGCTGCTCATGAAAACATGAAATTCGCTGAAGCGACTCAGCCTTTACCGCATTTTTGTGTTGCTTAGTCATTGAGTGATCTGTAATTGCCACTTTACACAGTCTCACGGAGGGCTGATCGTTCCAAACTTTAGATTTGTTTCTGGTGTTGATAGTATCATGCTTGTGACATAATAAACAGTACATACCTGATTTCTCCTGGTAGCAAAGCCACCAGAGACCTGTCCCTGCATTGTAACAAAGACTTCGTTCAGCCAACCAAGAGTGATTGAACGTATTTTGCTGCTGGAATTGACCGAGGAGCATTTCCCATGACATAGGAAATAGTTAAGTAATTTGAGCTCCTGAGACAAAACATCGTTGAAAGCAGTGCTTATTTCTTCACGTCCTTTCTCCAAGGAGATGGGATCTTCTTCTGTAGAAGATAGATTTGAAGTTGAAGTCGATGCTGCTGCAGTAATTATTTCACCTCTCGGCTTCTCTGACAACGAAGTTGTTTCGCTATCACAATCTTTGGCGAGCAGACTGTCTTGATCGTCGGTGTTCATGGCTTGTAGCGTATCATCGGTGTTCACATCTTGTCGCGTTGAAAAAAAACTGTTTAAAGTCGTCTTCTTGGTCAATTTAATCTTTTTTGGTGTGGACATCTCCAACTTTGCCCGAAGCAACGATGTTTTTAGAGCGCACGTGGGACCGAAAAATTCTGGCGCTGTCAAACCGCGCTCAAGTCATGTGCAATGGTTACATAACATAACTAGTATGTAAACAAGTACGTGTATTTATACGAAGCGAAAATCGAAAGCTGTCGAAATATTCTAAATGCTTGTCTTTCTAAACAGTCTGACAATGGCAAAAAAATCGGCATTTGCAGAAGAAGCATATTCTTAATTCATAAATGGGTTGTTTATTTCATTTCAGGAAAAGCAGAAAGCTTTAGTTTTGTTCCAGTGTAATTTATTAGATTTCTACAATGTGGATCAAGTTTTATCCTTGTTAAATAATTTTAATGAAAACATCGTGAATGAAACAAAAGGTCTCCATTAATTTGTCCATTGCATTTGAAAGTTTTGTTTTTATGTACCTCACACTAAAACAATGTGAAATTACAAGTAATTAAATGAATTTTGGTGAGCCCAAAAGAAAGTGTAAGCAAAAGCGAAACAAATTAGCAAACATCACGCAAGACACTGGTGTGGCCTTTATTTATATTGGGTGTTTGCCGTGTCTTTATTGTTTAGTCTCTTTTCTGAATCAACGTTTGAGACATTTCTTCAGCCAATCTTAGAAAGTGTGTAGACGGTGAAATTTTGAGAAGTCAAGTTCGCACTTGTCAGTCGTTTGATTGCATTTAGCGGTACAAATTTAATCTCATTTACTCAGCTGTAGGCCAAAACTAATGGCCCTTTTATGACTAAGAAATAAAGCCAAGAGAACATAGAATACAAATAAAACACACAAAACAAATCAGTAATTTCATTCAACACAATATGATTGTTTAACCAAACAAATTTTCTATTTTTAGCTGTTGTGTATCGTCTCTCTACGATTCATCAGCTGCAATTTTTTAGGAATAGCTGGCGATTTTTTCCAGCTGCCAGCTTTTATCTACATCCCTGCATCATGCAGAATAACGAATTTGCAGTGCTTCGTATGTGACGAATTTCATTCCACTTGACTGAACTTTACCTTTAAGATTGAGACAACGCACATGTACAGTTTCTGCATATTTGATACATTGATGTTGTGTTTGGTTTTATACCATGAAGTTGAAAAATGCTTGCAAAAAATTGCACAGCTCTTTTTTCAGCATTTTCCTGCTGAACACGGCTATTTTTAACTGTGGAGAGAAATTTAATTGGGGCAGATTTTGATCATGTGCTAGGTAACCACTTCTGAACTGCGAATGTACATCACACAATCAGCAAAACAATGCTATAATTTGTGATTTAAAGATTTTCATCTCAACTCTTTATTACCCATGAGCCTAAAACTTATTCTTTGTTTGAAAATCATTATCAAAAACTTAGTCAGAGAACCCGCATACCTGGGTTAATGCCCATGGGGCAAGACAGCAGAGAAAGTTACTTGCTCAAGAGGAAATTGTACTTGTCCCACACGAGCAAAGGGGTTTTTTTTTAGAGCCTTGTTTAGATACGTTGGATAACACTTTCCATAATCTAGTTGCTATTTGGTATAATTTGTGTCATCTACACTTATGTTTTGCTCTGTAAATGCGAATTAAAATTCGCAATATTTCTGTGTATTTTTTTCCTGCCGAAAAATGGCAGTAAATCGCACATACTCATGCTTTTTGGCGCAAATATTTCCCAACTAGTTCAATGTTTGTGTGAATAGTTGGTCGATTGATGGAAGGTCTTGTTACCGTTGTTGTCTGTTCTTAGCAGGTTTTTTCTATCCGTTGCTTACACCTTTTCTGTTCCTTTTCTGTTAGTTGAATGAGTCACTACCCAATATGCTTAGGGGAGTTCAGGAAGACCTGTTAAATCTTCAAAAGGAAGTTACAGTGATTTAATACGATCATCAATGATAAAAATGTATTATTTGATACACTTTTTATTAAACTAGCTCAGGGATAGCATATTAATTAGTCATTACTTATTAATTAATGCAGTAATTAGTTAATCAATATTGATTAAGTAATCAATTTTTTTACTTTGGTGACTAAAATTTTTCACTGGCATTGAAAAATAAACATTTAGTGGCCAAGTGGCCACTAAGGAAAAGAGTTAACCTGGAGGGTTGTACTGCCCTCATATACAATACTACCGTCAATGCAAAGTTCTGTTTATAATTTTTAATTTACAGTCAATGAACTCTGACTCAAAAGCAAACAATAAAAGTTTCAGTTTTTAAAATGCAGCAGGCATAGTTACATAATATCTAAAATGATATAAGCTCCTGCACTATTTGCCCATGCACTGATTTCTAACGGTTTATTTAATAGTGAGCAGAAATAGCCCAAAATTTAACACAAATAAAACACATTTAAATAAAGCATAAGCATCATATTCCAAAATCGTCCTCAAACAACTGATGTTCAATTGATGTTCCCTTACTCGTGGCTAATACAGATCTTTATCTAACAAACAATGACTCTTTCAGTGTGTGGTGCAACCTGAACTGATAGTTCAAGCCAAGAAATACTGGCTTGTGAGATTTTGGCTTGTGAAAGCTTATATTGTGCAACCTGCAATGAATTTCAAGCCAATGAATGTGGGATCCCACAAGCATATTAACTTTGGTGCAAAACTGCACAAGCCAAGTCTTGATATATGTTGGCTTGCATGAGAAAACTTGCTCAGTAGCACCTAAATGAAATCATAGAGAATAAACGAGGCATCTTGTAATCTCTTTTCGAGGGCAGTGCAGTTAATTTCCAATAACAAAGCAGCATGACAGTAATTGAAAAAATGGAAATAGCTTACCTTGAAAACTGCAATCAAATCCAGGCAAAAAGCGGGCAGGGAATCGAAAAGAAGTTCTCTGACAATGCAATGTGACAAGAGCTAGGAACAACTGTGCACAGCGTATGTAGCAATGGCGGCCTTTACTTGAAACAATCACGCGAAATACTAGTACCAGTCTACCTCAGACCACTCATGCTCACAAGGATCACGACATCAAACTCTCAAGATAGTCGCCAAGTATTTGGGATGATGCATCCCACAAAAACGGATGAGCTGTCCTTACAATTTGATCAATGGTTATTGGTACTTCTGGGAAATCATTCTTTCTCGCATAAGGCCAACTTTGATGACGGAAAACACCACTCCACTATACTTGTATCAGCTAAGGCTGTGTACATTTTGAAGACAAGAGCTTCCCTGGCCTCTGTGAACCATCTGTTCATGTATTGTATTGTATTGTATTGTTTACCGTGTTATTGTAAAAGACAGTTGAAATTTTGTAACATTCATGTGAGCATGTCAGGTTCATATTCTCCATTTTCTGTCTGCACTTTCAAAAAAGATTGAGCTAGTGGTTGAGCAAGTTCCTTGTCTGGTATGTTTTCAAGAGGTCTCATTTTGTTTGCAGATTTTACCCATCTGTAAGATATGCCAGATCACTTTGCTTTTTGTTTCTGTTTTTGGTAATGAAATTGTTGTTACCTCTGTTGTTCAGCTCTCCATGTATGTCTGTTCAGTCTGATTCCTCAGTATTAAAGCAATAGTACCTGTTTCAGTAGTTTTTGTCGGCTAACACAAAACAATCTGGTCCAAGTCAAAGTTTAGGTTGCTAAGTTTGGCCATTTTGTTGCTTGTTCAATTTGAATTTTAGCTATCAACATCACAGAGATCAGTGACTCTTACCATAAAGTTCCAGGAATATCAACCCTCAAAAAGTAGGGGCCCCCTGAAAGTAAGATAAAAAATGTGGTGGTGGACAAATCCCAAAAGTAAGACCCCCTGAAAAGAGCCACCCTCAGAAAGTAGCGAGCCCACCTCCACCTATCTGAAAATGGGAAGACAAGGGTCAATAGCATTTTTTCTAATAATAATCAAGTAATTTGAAGAACAGGCAATAGAGTCCGCACCTTGCAAGCCTAAGATCTGGAAACGCTACGTAGATGATACT